CTTCCCACTTTCTCTGTAAGCAACTCTAATCATCCTAACGTTGGAAATAGCAGTACGTTGCGAAGCGGCGCTGTAGCGCGACGCTGTAGCGCTACAAGTCTGAACGCTGCCTTAGGCCGTTCATAGCTTGCGATGACAACTTTAAAAGCAGGGTTTTTTGATCGTTAGGAACTCCAAAAACGCTCTATTCCAAACGCCCTATTCGTATACCTATCACGCCTGTCGCGATCACGAAAATCACGCGGTCCTACGCGACCGAAAAAGTCAAAACGCGATGACTCGTCAGCGTGCTTCGCTGCCGCAGTCTATGAATGCATTCTTACCGCGTGATAGGTTATCGCACATGTGAAACCCAGAGAGTTCACAGTAGTTGTGTTCAAAGTGTGGCCATGAGCCTCCAAAGGTGACCGTATGTCGAAGAGATTTTTAATTCGCTGTTGTTATGGTACTATTGAAGAAGTCAAGAAACTGTAGAAATTTTCTCAAATTTGTATGGCTGAGTTTCGCTGTTCCTCCAATGATTTTTTCGTATCTAGGATACGTTATCTACCGCGTCCGTGTCCGCCGTGGTAACCGTAAGCGCCCGGTCACCAAGGGTCAGACATACGGAAAGCCGAAGACCCACGGAGTCAACGAGATTAAGTTCGCCCGCTCAAAGCAGGCTATCGCTGAGGTACGTTGTCTTTCTTTTTTAGGTTTTTTTTTCATCCGAAAAACAAATCGTGTGGTGCTCAGTTCGTTAGATCATACAGAACTCATTTTATTTCAATAATTTCAATATATGAAGGAAATGAAAAGTATCTAAGTGGTACGCTTGACTTGCGCGTTATCTGAAGGCTTAACCCCAAATCGACTTCCTGTCCGGGCTAGCCTGCTTACGGGGATGGTGAGTGCTACTTGGTATGGTAACGCTGAATGGAAGGAATGCATACCGAATCTTAATAAGAGATTGATAAACGTCAAGGAATTTATCGACTCGTTTTTGAGAGTCTCTGAATAAAGGCTCCGTCCAACCAAAATTGAAGCTGCGCAAAGTATTCCTATAAGTGGTGTGTTCAGCTATAAGTCATGCCCTCGGCCAAGGAATGGTAATACGCACCTTCTTGCGCGTCAGTGGGTGGTTTTCTTCCTCTGGAATAAACTGTACACTTATCTCTGACTCATATCGGATATGGCGTTTGGGCTTTTGCAGTAATTTCTGGTGCTAAGGTGTTTGGGATGGGGGGACTTATGAGTTTCTAATAGAGCGGTGAACTACATATGCCCCCTAAAAAGTTCATCGAAAAAGCATTACTTTGCTGCTAATCTTCTGCCTGTCTTTTTTGGAAGGGCACTGTTAGAGTAACGGGGGTAGAGAACTTCCAGATTCTGCGAAGCCTTCAAGGCTTCAAAGTGTTTTGCGCAAGGAAAGGGGTACCCACCCCAAAGTTCCTTCCTTCTTAGGCCTACGCAAAAATCCCTATCAACTGGTGTACAGTCACTCCTTCGTACATTTCGGCGTCAACTCCCCCACCATATGGAAAAACACCCCATGGCGGTGCTAAATTATGTTCCACCCCTGAAATTACGATGTTATCTCCAAGGAACCTTCACTGTAGCTAGCCATACACGCGGGATATTATTTCAGCGAATATGAGCAGAAGAGCAGTGGTCCGCGTGATTCCCCCCCCCCCCCAAAAAAAAAACGTTGACACCTGAGTTATTGTTCTCTATGCTGGAGAAAAAGTTTGTCTTCAGTGTCTCAATTTACTATCGGAACAACTAATTCTCGAGTTAGTTTTGATGATTTGGTTCAAAAATAGCAGAGATTGGATTAGATGGGTAACGATCGACTCTTAGCGTGTCCGTGTTCTTTCCGAAAGCGCTATTGGTTCAAACTAGCCCGTTTCCATTCGGGTTAATTCGGGTTCTCAGCCCAGCCCAGCTCCGATGGTTTCTGCGCAGCCTTACCACGTTTATTCCTATATTCCACTGTTTTATTCCTATATTTTATATCATATAACTTTTATTTGCCTCTTTCTGT